TAAGTGCTTGGGCTGGGGATGTAGCTCAAGCGGTAGCCTGCTCGCCTGGCATGTGTGGGGCACTGGGTTCGATCCTCAGCACCACATAAAAATAAAATAAAGATATTGTGTCCACTGAAAACTAAAAAGTAAATATTAAAAAAATTCTCTATCTAAAAAACAACAACAAAAAACTATTAAATGCTGAAAAATCTCATCTAAATACAGATGCAGGACTAGAAGCTTTGTTAAAATTATCCCTCAATTTTGCATAGTTGTATGTGCAGAATCATACAGTAATTATCACAAAAAATGGTTTATAATCATCACCTGATAATTCCATTCACTTCCTGAAATTTTATTGAAGCAAACAATCCTACAAACCATTGGATTTTCAAAATAATTAATCCAAGACTCATTCAGCCTCTTATACATTCAAGATGCCTTTAATTGATGGTTTGGAAATGTTTACACCCTGGGGCAATGCTAAGATTTGAGATGACTGAGAGCTATAAAATATAGTGTATATGGAAATTGAGGATCTGTAAATACTTTAAAACTATCCTTGCCTGCCTTAACTTTTTTTTAAGAGAGTAGTGACTACCTTCAAGGAGCTAATCACAATCCACCTCATTCTCCCCATAGCTAATCCTCTGACTGGGTTCTTTTGTATATCCTATAAGAATCTGTACTTAAGGATAACTACCCAGAGCTAGATCTTATTTAAAAACTGCACATATGCTGGGCACAGCAGCGCATGCCTATAATCCCAGCAGCTCAGGAAGCTGAAGCAGGAGGGTTACAAGTTCAAAGCCAGTCTCAGCAACATAGTGAGGCCCTTAGCAACTCAGTGAGACCCTGTCTCTAAATAAAATACAAATTTGAGGGCCAGCTCAGTAGTTAAGTGCCCTTGAATTCAATTCCCAGTACCAAATAAATAAATAAAATCGCACACATTATATTCTAAGTAAATGTATTTAGATCTGCAAACCTTGAGGAAATGTGAAAATTGTTATAGTAATAAACACAAGTTGTAGCAACAGGAATAGTTAACATATGAGCTGCTAAAACTATCTATGGTCAACATCCCCAAGGGGTAGGCATCATTATCCTCATTTTAAAACTAAGAAAATTTGGGGTCAAAGAAGTGAAGTAATTTCCTACCATCGATCACACTACTGGTTAGTGGTAGAGCTAGCATCCAACCTATGTTCTATCAGATTGCAAAGCTCATACCCGTCTGCTCTACCTTCTCACTTGTGCTCACTCATAGGAGTTCTAGATTTTTAAAACTGTGATGCTAATCAGGAGCAATTTTAAGTATTGGCAGTTCCCCACTCTTCATTCTATTTCCAAACGTGAATTCTTCATTTGAAACATCTCTCCCATGGGACTCCAGCACATTCTCTCGGGCAGGCGTTATCCATCGCACACACCCTGCCATTCAGCTCGCTTCCTCAATTCTGACACCCAATCAAGGTCGTCGTCATCTTCCTCAAAGTCCCTGTGCAAAAACAATTTGGATGATAAGCCTCTGTATTAAAAGTCAACATGTATTTGTTGAGACGTTCAAAGTAGAACACTACCATATTATTCAAATTTTAAAAAATGAGTTCCATGAGGAATAAGATTGTTGTTAGTTCTCCCAAAAGATCACTTATTT